GTATGTGTATGTGTGTATATGTATATGTGCATGTATATGTATATTTGTATGTCTTTTCTATGTGGTAGTAGGTTGTACTACATCTCTCCTTCTCGCTCTCTCCCTATCTCTCTCTCTCTCTTTTTGACTCACTCTCTCTCTCTCTCTCTCTTTCTTTGGTTGCATGTGTAGTTACACCTGCTGCATATTCATGGCTCTACTCATGATGTTCGTGCATTCTCCCGCCTACCACTCTGAAAAATCCTGTTGGTTCCGTAAGGCACCCTTCAGCCTTCGCCTCGCAACATCCACTGCCATGTCACCCCGCCGTGCAATAAATGCATCAGTATGCTTCTGTTCCTACATCTGGGACCTGCAGGACACTCGGACAGACTCTGTGCTCACGCTTCCTCCTAGGCCGGATAAAGTCACAAGAAAGTGCGGATTGCGATGAGCAGAACAGGAAGCGGGCCAAAACATGCAATTCAATTTCCGCGCGGTGTGGCAGTGTGGGGAGATCCGCACGCACAAGGCTTTTGACTACCATTTTCATATTCGTCACGTTTAGGGTTTAACAGGGCTTACAATGCAATTAAGGTTTCTGGGCTTGCCGTCGCAGCAATGGTCGAAGCAAGATCGCAGATCCTATTGTGAGATTCCTTAAAGCTTTTCCTACTTGCGGACAGATATTTGCAAGATGCCCGCGGTTTCGTTTGCAATCTGTCAAAACGCTTCTTGCTCAGGCCTAACCTCGGGAGGATTGATGGCTGCCTCTTGGGTCCAGCTGTTTATGGGCACTTAGGGTTAGGGGGAGCATAGCGAAGAGGTCTTGGCCTTACCCTCTCAGCGATTCTTGGATCCTCCTGGGCACATATGCGGCCTCATGCGACACTTTCCAAATCTTTTGCATTTCCTTTGTTCATGAGACGTGGTCTCATATGCTGCTCGCCAACTTCAGGCTATCATCCCGCTAGTTGCCGAGCTCCTTCCAGCGCGCCGGCGTGGCTTCTACCTGACTGTGTGGTGCTGTGGAAGGCCTGACCTTCAGCCCTTGAGCGATCAGTTTTCTCGCAGCTTCCGTGTCAAGGACTTGCAGTCGATTTTATATCTTAGGTGCCTCGAAGGCCTATAGAAGGCGGTTCAACTACACTTACACAGAGTCTCTGTACCATGCTTGCATGTAAGGATAGGAAGTGAGGCGATGCAGGGGTTACTAAGCAACTGGGCTTCTACAGCTACAGGGCATGCTGCGCGGAGGCCTGCAGGCGCATTGCTAGCCGTCATCCTCAGCTGCTTATTGCCACGACTGGACTGGACCAGCTGCTTGGCTGAGTGATAAACTCATTCTAATAAACACTGAGCCGTCGGTAGAGCGCAGGGCCGCTAGCCTTAGCCTTGTGGTCGTAGGTTCGAGCTGCATGGCGGGTGTTCGTGCAAGTGGGCGCAGAGCAGGCATGCTTGAATGAGTACATTCTCGCAGAGAATGGGAATGGGTAGCCCGTAGCAAAGAACTGAACCCTAAAACTCCCGAGATTTCGTGTTCATGATGTCGGCGCCGGCAGTGGTCCTCTACGTCCTTTGCCGGTTGGATGCGGCTTGGTGTGAAATCAACGGCACTACGGGGATTCGTTTCCGTCTCTGGGATCGAACGCCAAGCCAGCGGGCTATTCCAAAATGGTTGGTCGGTTTAGGCTGTAGAGTTCACAGGTCATGCCAGAATCTCCACGTTACCTCTACCTGGCCGGCCGTCGAGAAGAAGGCCGTGAGCTCTCAGAGTTGGCAAGATCAAGGCTGCAGCAGCTACAACAGTGCTGTAACTGCAGCTAAAACATCAGATGTTAAGCCGTAGTCACCGTAGTTGGCAGTCAAACATGTGTTAGTATAGGTTCAGACAGTTATGCTGTTGCAAAGCAAGAATAGCCCACGACCCCTCAACAATGTCTACATTGTAGCACGAGTACCATGGTTGAGGGTTCTGATATGCGTAGAGGTCAAGCAACGGCTAACTTAGTAACAGCGATACAGCTGCGATGACCACGGTGATGCTGGCAAGTTTTGTGATGAGAGTTGATGACCCTAAGCCCTACACCCTAAACCCTAAACCCTAAACCCTAAAGGAGGAGGAGGAGGAGGAGGAGGCTCTTCGAGCATGGGCTTCGAAATATTGAACGTTTTGTTTGGACGATCCGACCCAACCTGGAATTCCGAAATTCCATGCAGGCTTCCTCACTCTGGCGGAGATGTATGACAAGGCAGGGCAAAAAGAAGAGGTTGGAAGCTGCACAAGTCTAGTGGCACTTGCAAGACGGTGGATCTTCGGCACTTAGACTCTAAGCAATAGAGTAGAAGAAATAACGACGCAAAAACCGGATGCTTACGATTGCTTTCTCGCGATCAGCTGCAGATTCTGGTTTAGACCTTTACCTTGAAATGTCATGGCCGAGAGAAAGAAAATGAGTGAGCCAGACATGCGAGTGTGTGGAGGCAGCGAACAGAGCCGGAGAGAGAGAGAGAGAGAGACAGAGAGACAGGGACGGAGCGAGGCAGGGAGGGTAAAAGAGAAGTGGGAGCAGCAGTGTTTGCCGCAATACGCCAGCGACAGGAGATGATGTGTCTCCCTTGGGGGCCAGACTCAGTGTCCTTAACGACATCCTCCGAAGTCAAGGACCAGGGATACTTTGCGCACCGTAGACTTGGCCAGCGGCCATCTGCAAGCGCCGCAGTTGACGAGTTCTGAGCTGTCATCCAGGAGGTCAAGTCCGGGCTGCGGTCCCTTGCGCATTCTGATGCAGCCATAACTGCCGCATGGCTCATCATTTCAGGATACTTCAGACACACAGCTTTGGCTGAAAATTCTAAGCACTCAGAATGGCCGTTCAGAACTTCGGCCGCCGTTTCCAAGGTGTCAGTGTAATTGCCGCGCAATTTGTGCTAGTGCCGGCCCGTGGTGTAGCACTTGCTGCACCTGCTGCCCTAGCATGCTCTAGCTGTTCATCCGAGTCTTCAGATCTCAGGCAGCTTCTCTATCTCTCAATCGGAAGTCTTCGTTTAGCCAGCTGACCTCGTGCAGCCATAGCTTACCGTTACCCTGAAGCCCCAGACCAACCCTAACCCCCAAAGAGCTGACACCCTAAACAAAGTACCCATAGGCCCCATAGTAGTTCCGTTTTGGGGTTACCTCATAGGATTCTATATATGAACCCCAAAAAGGAACTACTTTAGGGCCGTCTCAAAACCCTCAAACCCTGCACCATGCACAGAGGGACAAAAACCTTGTGTTCCTTGCAGGCTGCGACCTGGTCTGGTCGGCAAAGCAGGGTGGAAAGAAACCCTCCCCAAAAGCCTCTTCCGAATCTAAGTGGCAAAAAATGCCCTAAGTCCAAAACCTCAATTCCCGTCAAGTTCGATCCTGAAGATCTAAGACGCAAGAACCTAAAGCCCTAAACCCCTGTAAATGCGAGTCGAAACCCTGTAAACCGAAAGCCCTAGAACCACCTCTAGGCTTGGCTGTGCCTCGTCATTTTCTTCAGCCACTGCGCGTCACAGTGCATGCGGGTCGGGATCGCGAGCCGTTGGGTTAGGGCTTGGTTTAGTAGTCTGGGGGTCTAGGGTCTAAGGTTTTAGGGTTTTGGGGTTTGGGTTGGTATATACTGAGTGGGTCCAGAGTTTCATGGTCTAGGGGTTGACTTGCTTCAGGCGATTGCACAAGTCCTGCTGCGAAATCGGGGTTGACTAGCTTCAGGTACTAACCGATGGAATCAAAGGGTGCTCACCAAGTCCTCAATCCCCACAAGTCCCCAATTCTGCCCTGCAAAACATCGGGAAGAGTCGATCGTTCGACACTCGCGGTGATAATATACTTCTCAGTTTCAATACTCGGTTCAGCATCGCTTACTGCACGGGCGGAACTTCTAGTGTATTCTGTTTGTTCGTATTGTGCTGTCTGCCGTTCATCTAAGCTCGACAATCCCTTCCCCCCGAATATTAAACGGCAGCAACTTGTTCAGCCATGCAGGAGCCAAGTCGACTAAACCGGGGCCCATTCCCTTCCAATGAAGACTAACTCGTAAGGCGTTGTAGCTGTTGGCTGTCTTTTACGTCTAACGTCAGATCGGGGGTTCTTGCTCCTGCTCTTGCTCCTGAACCCCATACTTCAAACTCGGTTTGACAAGATGGGGATGACCAGGGAAATTAAGGATTAAACAAGCGCCAGTATCGTTCCACGTGTTCCTTGGTTTGTGCAAATGAAGACGATTACTGCGACTGGAAGGAGTTTCATGTTTCGAAGCTTGCATGGCAGGCGTGGATACCAATGATCCTCGCGACGGGATCCTCGCACCAATCACCGGTGATGCTGCTGGCACTGTCCCTGCTCCAGGCCTTCACGGAACCTACTGTAGGACCTTCAAGCTGACGGTCTTCGTTTCCACGTCTCAATGTCGAGAAGTATACATTCAGCATGCCCAGTTCAATTCTTGGGTGCTGAAACAGGAGCAGCCGAACGAATGAAAACGTCGGTCCTGCAGGAGAGACGAGATGTGCTGTCGTAGTGGGGTTGGCGACTGTATAGTCATGTTCTTGCATGTGTACACCAGGCAGAGAGCCCTCAGCCGCACGCATCGCCTGGCTTGGACCGACATTTGGTGATGGTGGCAGCCCAGGGCTACATGCACCCTGGCGTCTGAGGGAAGCGAACAGGGCCCACAGCCAGACGGCTGGTTCATGAGGATAAGGTATGCGATTCGACATCTACGCTTTCGGATCCCTCGCCTGGAGAACGGCCTGGAATCGTTTACATATGAGTCCATGCGCGCAACTTGAAGCTGCCAGGCCCAGTAGGAGTTGGGCCTCGGACGCTGCAAAACTAGATGATAGGTTGTCAGGCTAGATTGTCATCGGGAACGAAATTGAATAGATTGCGGCTCTGCACACCCCACAACCCAAGAGAGCCTTCACCATAGAAAAGTCTCACGTCACCGCCGCCACCTCCAGCAGTATTAGCCAGTCCTCAAGTACAACGTGTTCTCCATGGCCCACCTTCACGTGGAAAACGAGGCTGGAGATCTGCGGCATCGTTATTTGTGCTGCAATTTCGTTTGTGGCTTTGCTGCAGAAGCAATTTAATTATGGTGATAATTAAGGGCATCGATTGACAGTGCTAACAATTGGATGCAAAGGAATCTGCAACTAGATTTCCCGTGCCGTCATCTCGAGATACATCAAATAGCGACTCCATGCGACTGCTTGAATGTAGGATGAGGCAGTTAGCCTCGAACGTCTTCGAACTGTAGTCCGAGTATCTTAACGGGGGGCCAGTACGGCTCTGCCATCTGGAATCCGGACAGTGCCGGCAGTCGCTCCAATCCGAGCCCCGAACAGGGCATCCCCAACGCCTAACCGACAGTCTGGATGGCGCAGGTCGCTTGAATCCTCATTTGCGCATACAAAATTTTGTGGTGGCTTCCCTTGACGTGTAGATTCACAGGAGGGAACTATTGGTCTGGTCGGTTTTGGCTCCTGATCTCTGCCTCGTACATCTATTCCAACCTCTCCGTTGTAACAAGCATGTGAGAAGTGCGGCTTGACGTCGCAAGGGCATCACTATTGTCAATAGTCGCATGAAGACCGTTAGGCCTGTCACCTTGCAGCGCTGAGCAGCGCGCTGTTGTGTTTCTGGGGTTTGTGGCCTTTCCCAGTCCTGTCCTCAAAATCGTTCCAGCTCTGTACTTGCAGAGGATGTAGGCTTCGGGGGCCTGGGTCAGTCGGGGATGTTTATCGCGGTCTTACACTGAACTTACGCTGAACAAGCAACTACTAACGCGATGCATGTCTTTAGAGGCTTGACGTAGAAGGCTGTACGTCTCTCCATCAAAGCGGCAATAACCGAAACAACCTTCTGCGACGTTCTGGATCCGTCTGCGGCCATGAACTGGCCCCCAAGATTCTGCTCCTAAGCACTATAGACTATAGACTTACGACTTAGCAAACTTACTAACAACGTATATCTTAAAGCCTGTATTTTCCGAAACACGAAGCTATCACCATCCTGTTTAAGTACAGTATAAGCCCTAAGCCTTAGGACTAGAAGTCCGGAGCAGTAGCATTTCGGATTTTGTTTCGGGGCGCAAAATGAACCAACGCCCCTCCTTGATTGATATCCGTCTTGATCTGCTCAACTCCACTGCAAGCCAAGGCCCTCACCCGACGGCTCCTGGTGCGTGGGGCGCTGTGCGCAGCGGCCGTGCTCGCCATTGCGGCCACACTGGCAGAGCGCCGAAATCTGCGGCTGGCTCGTGTTGTCCCGGATTTGGATTTGGAGTTAAGGGCTTTGCCCAGATTCAAGGTTGCAGGGTTTCAGTAGTCGGATTTATCAGGAAGGCAGACCTATCCGGCCGAGCTGGCAAAGCGTAGATCTCCTGAGAATTTAGAATTTGTGTCGGAAGGCTTGCAGCAGAACCAACCACAAGATGCACATGTGCATGCACAGCTGCTGGATCCGAGCCCCAAGAAAGAACGTAAGACGACTAGGTGGGTGACCGCTGGACCACTCTTTGGGCTGGCGCTCGTTGCCAATGCTGCGGCAGCTAACTTTCTGCTCGTTGGGGTCTTGGCTGCCTTTTCAAAGTCCAAGCTGCGAAGCTTGTTTTGTTCGGGCACACTTCCTTTCAGGAAAAGCTGGCGTAGGAAGATGCCAGAATAACGCACTGCACACCTGCTGACTTCAGTAGGGCATTGTCCTTGCTGTCGATTCATGACGATGCTTTCGTTCTAGTTGGATGCCTTGGGTGAGCTTGGGGATGTACTGACATACTTTGGGTTGGCGATGCCGTGCTACCTTTGCGATTCATGCCTCTGTAAACCCTAACTCTGCCTCTCTCTCTCTCTCTCTCTCTCTCGCTTTGTGTATATGCACATGCGTATGTGTGTGCCACCTGATGGTCCGTTTGCCCCGAAAGGTGTTTGCGTGCGAGCGGTTCCCGACATCCTCGAGGCGTCGGCTGTCCCCCGGAACAGCCAGAATCGCAACCTCTGCTATCGTCTCGTCATCATCGATCACCATCTAGACACTTTCTGCCATCAACATCGTCATGCGTGTCAGGCAGAACCGTATCACTTCACACTCGATGGTCAGATCCTCATGATGTTCACCCTTCACAGTGACGGTGCCCAGGATGGCTTCATAACTCATAACCAATCCTTCATATGGACGAAATGAACAGAAAGTTCAATGGTAAAGTGATTCAGAGTCGCTTCAGACTTGTAGAATTCGCCAGTTTTTGGGCATCTTGTTAGACGGAATACCCATCAGAGAAACGGAAAGCATGCCCTTTCGAGTCCAGTTGAAGCGGGCTAGAAATATATGCGCCCTGCTTCTCAGGGCCAGCGCAGTTGGGCTCGTTCTTTTCTTTGGCCAGGCCTCCGTGGAGTTGGGTCTCAGGGTTTCGGGTCGAGTTCTGAATTTCGAAAGTTATGATGGGTGTGCGAAAGGATGTGGTGCCTGGTCGTGATAGAATGATTGGAACTGCACATGCTGGTCCATCGCTTTGAGAGAACCCCAGAGCCCCAAGCACCAACAACACTTCTGCCTGGCATCGCGAATCCTTAGCTTTTCTGAGCTCTTCGTTCTTACCGGATCTTTCCCTTTGAGGTCGCCGAGCTCTTTGCACCCTCCGTGGGGGTTGTTATGCTGATGCTCGCCTCGGAACATGGAGCATGCTTTGCATGCATACTTTCTTCAGCCTTGTGGCATCAGAAAGAAAACCCAAAAGACGGAGTTCCAGTTCCTTGAATCCGGATTTCTGTCCAGCCTGGCATCTGGCACGGAGTAGACGACACATGCTGAATCGTTCTGGATACCTGGTTTCCACCACGTCAGGAACCGGTTCTCTGTGCAGTCGGCGGTGCTTGCCTTCAACAGCTTGCAACCGCGACTTATTGTGTCATCGCGCATGTCATGCACAGGCGCACACACAAGGATTGCGCATGCATATCTAAACCAGCATATAGTCTTTTACTACTACTACTACTACTA